TAAAACACAGTATATCCAAATTAGAAGTTAACTGAATAAGGATAGGCTGACATGAATTATCCTAACATAGATATTTCTACTCTAATACAGTATATAACACTGTAACACTTATACATTAATCCTCTATACGTTAATAATTTATGATTGTTTCTCTTAGACAGATCATTTTGAATGTAGCAATACATAAAATTTATCACACATCATTAGGCACTCTGAATATGAATAAAGACATAACTGCACAAATTTCGTTTAAAACGCCGGAAAAAATCATAGCTGCTCTAGATGAATGAACTAAGGAAACTATCACGCCGAGACTGCAACCTGTAATGATGCAGGCCAAATTTATACCAACAAAGAATAATGAGACATCTAAACCAAGTTCTCTAAAATTCCATCGATTATCTTTAATTTTCTAGAAATAGAATAAGAGTAGCGATCATCATAATGTAAAGTAGTAATATTCTATAAAGATCGAATTTCAAAATAATCCATTAACATATTTGTATACCGCGAAATAATGATGATAAGAAGCTAGAATGGAAAATATTAAGGCATTACCACTAGAAAATCCAATTCCTTGAAGAGTAACCATACAGAGGACTACGATAACTTGATTGGTTAGTCCTATGACTAATGCTCCGATACCACCAATTGAAAATCCAATCGCTAAAATACGATCTACAACTGCAAGAATAAACCTACACTTTAAACTAGAAAGTTATCTGAAATATTTTACTATTATAATAAGATCCTTCATAAAAATTTCGAGATATCTATGTATTTAGTTTAGCCTCTAAGTTTAAATAAAGTGCTGTTTCTTGACTTCTAATGAATATCGTCAATTCTAAGGACCTCCTTAACGACTATCATAATGATTTTCATACATAATACATGTAGATAGTATTCTATTTGCCTTCAGAAATAATTAAGTTAAATATTTGTTTCATGGTGAAGAAATATTCCAAATTTATTTATTAGATACTCGTTAAAATGTTAGTTAGTATAGTGCTTATGATGCTCATATATTAATTGTAATTAACAGTCTTTAGATAGCTTAATTATATACCTACTAATATTAAAATTTATCATGTACTCGTATTTTATTTTGCAGTTAGTTACGATTCCTGGCTGCCACGATGAAATTAATTAACCGTAAATAAATTCTATTCACACTACAGCGGCTATAACGAAATAAAGTATCCACAATTAATTTACACACAAAATTAAGATTTTAAATTACCGATATATTTTGTTATTCGCTCGAGCGCCAAGGAATATACAATGGATATAATAGTGCAGCCCAATAAGCCCCAGCTTCCAACAGAGACACCACGGTTATAGCGATGCAAAGCTGTCGAGTTTTCCGCTGCTAGAGGATTACCATGATAGATTGATTGGCCTATAAAATCAGTTAAGAAACTGGTGAATCCAATATATGATGAACTGCTAAAGAAACTTATCATCCACAAGATGATTAATTCCTTGGGCATAGTTTTAGCAAAATAATAAGTCTGATAGAGATGATTCCAACTACTTATTTCTTCTGCTGTGAGTGCTTGTGGTTTATCTTCAGTTGAAACGTTTATTGTTGCCATCTGATCGTTCTGTTTAACAGATGACTGGATAGAATCAGAAGTCTTACTGTCCATAGTAGAAATTTTTAAATCGTCGCTATTTTTTCTACTTGATGATTTATGGGTTAATGCTTCAGTAGAATCAATAATAGCGTATGGAAGTTCGGTATAGCTTATTGTAGCAATTAACATCACTACGATACTTATTGTAGCTATTAAAATGAAAACTACTTCGACTTGTCCTCCAAAAACTTTAGCTAATGGCGTTTCTCTCCCAATCATCCTATATCAATAAACATAAGTATACTACTAGCTTAGTAATGAATTAACTAATATAATCTGTCAATATCGTT